GTTTGTGTGTTACTAGATGTTTCCTACATGATTATGTACTACAGTACGTGTATGTGTGTTACTAGATGCTTTCTACATGATTATGTACTACAGTACGTGTGTTTGTGTGTTACTAGATGCTTTCTACATGATTATGTACTACAGTACATGTATGTGTGTTACTAGATGCTTTCTACATGATTATGTACTACAGTACGTGGATGTGTGTTACTAGATGTTTCCTACATGATTATGTACTACAGTACATGTATGTGTGTTACTAGATGTTTCCTACATGATTATGTACTACAGTACGTGTATGTATGTATGTTACTAGATGCTTTCTACATGATTATGTACTACAGTACGTGTATGTACGAGAGATCACTCTCCAGTTAACAGTATGTATAGTTGTATAATCATGTCTGTAATTGTATACCTATGGGCCATAAGGCCCTCGGAATAAAGTTTAAATTGAAAATTTTTTCTCTGTTCAGCAGTGGTCATACAACTCAAATTATCCACGTACACGTGTATGTATGTATGTTACTAGATGCATATACATGATTATGTACTACAGTACGTGTATGTACGAGAGATCACTCTCCAGTTAACAGTATGTATAGTTGTATAATCATGTCTGTAATTGTATACCTATGGGCCATATGGCCCTCGGAATAAAGTTTAAATTGAAAATTTTTTCTCTGTTCAGCAGTGGTCATACAACTCAAATTATCCACGTACACGTGTGTATAAACAGATACACAGGACGGCGAACCAGATGATCTCGTGACATCGGATCCGATTTCACGTTTTTATTGATGTTGATATGTTTAAAACAATGTGCATTGTCCTGATGTGATAGTTTCCTGCAAAGACGAACACATGTTTCTGTTTCTGTAACAGCTGAAAAGCTTGGTCTACTTCAATGTGATTGGGATTTACCGTGTAAAATATGTAAAACTAATCATCATAATGAAGTTTGGAAGTGATTGAATGTTGTGTTTAAAATATTATTCCACACAAGAAAATAGAAAAGAAGGTTCATACAGTCCCAACCGTGTGATTTATAAAGTTGTATATTTACAATGAAGTGGAGATATCAAATTAAAGCGGTTTTCGTTTGTATCTGTGTCTCTATGTGTACTACCTTCTTCCTCGTACTGGTCCCATCCGTCGGTAAGTAGAAGAAATCCATTTGTTTAAAGTTGGATCTGCTATTGACTTCCTCTTGAATTCAATAACAACATGTATATATTATCAATAATCAACACCGAAGAAAAAGAAGGATAATGTGAAGTTAAATAGAAGTTAAATGAGTTGCTTAGCAACATCCTATTTCCATTTTTTCTGTTTTATTTGTAAATTTAGCTCTATAAAAGAATGTCAGTGAAAAGTAAAACTCACTACAAAGATTTTTTTCCGGACAAGATTAAAAGAAATGACTGAAATGTAATAAAACACACCAAATTTATGATAACACATTAGATATATACTTGATAGGGCGCTAGACTGTTTTAAAGCTAAACATATTAGCAATAGGGACTTATATAGTACACGGCAAAATTGAGAAAAACACATGTCATGCAGGACTAGACTCTTTCAAAGCACTTCAGAATCATAAAGGAAAGGACGTTATTCATTTATTCGTTTATTCATTGATCGGCTGCAAATATGGCGGCAACCTACAGCTGTCGGTGTTGATGACACACATCCTCTTGAAATGTCTAACGTGTTTGCGCCACAATCAATATGTTTGGTTGTGGATTAGGTTTGATGTCTGATAAGGTACTTTGTGTTGCATTGTTTGTTAATTTTCGTGCAAATAGAAAGTTTACGATGGAATTGAATATCGTGTTACTAGTAAACAACGCTTTCAAGTTTCTGGTTTTGTGATTTTTTTTTTGTACCGGGCTTTATGATTTGTCAATTATATAAGATGTTTTGTGTTCTCTCTTTCCATTGGTGTAATACTGCAAAAGTGGCATTCTTCACTATTGAGATATTTCTCTATATTTCACTGGCAAAAATGTTACAAATTAGATTTTTTTCACTCCATTTGGCCAAATTTATGTCGACTTACTATCACGACAGGTCAAGTTGAATTATCACTAATGTTAATCCAATGGGTAAACTTGAATTGTCTATAAAACTAAAAACAAGCCGAAACAAGTATGGCAAAATGTTTTACAAAATAAGAACACCAATCGCTTAAAATGTCGTGCAATGATAATACGTTATAAATGACTAGGGGGCTGAAATATACCACTAGGAAAGGAAACACCGCAAAAAAGATCTTATGTTCAGATTCCATGGTTCAGTGACAGTAGGTAGACATTTACTCATTAAGAAAATTAGAAAAAGATATTATCAACAACGTGATGAGCAGAGTGGATTTTTTGTTCCATAAGTTTCCACGATCCTGATTGGCTGGCCACGAGGCTCGCAATTAAAGATGAAGGTGAGGTATGGCCAAAATGCCGTTTGGAAAGAAAATGTAGCTAGGAAGCTAAAAAATACCAATCCATGATAAAGTAAATGATATCACAAGTTTATTGTTGTTTGCAACATGCAGAAGCATCGTGAAAAATGGTGAATTTACCAGACCATATCTGACAAAAAAAGAGAAAAGAAATGAAATGTCAACAAAATCTTATTCGAACTCAAATTCGAGATAAAACTAGTGCAAATCATCAACAAAAGGAAACTTTACGCGAATGTTTCTGAAAAAGTACTTAAAAATAAGACCACGCGTTTCGGAAGCGTACATGGAAGTGTTTTATTGACGACACCAGCCATGTAAATCTTAGTTAATTCAAATAAGTGATATCACATTCACGAAGAGAACAATGTATAAAATAACGGAAGAGTAATAAGGATATTCTAAGACAAAGAAGTATCATAAACATTGGTTCGAGTGTTACAATATTGTTTACATATATTCTGATAGTAATAAAATCTGTTGGTAAGTTTGTTACCATATTCTTTGTACAATCTACGTTTATAATTATGCCTTTACATAAGCACAGCTAATATAAACACTAATCAATTAAACTTAAGTGCGATAATGTAATCCAACGCGTACAGCAAATCTGAACACTATTTTTATTGTCATCCATGGACCTTTTTACTGTGCAGATTTATATCATTTTCAGGGATAAATGATAGCGATATTTTTGCCTCTACATCGGATGTTAGAGGTGTGATACAGGAGAGGAATATACCAAACCAATTCAGTTCGATCTCTGCTATCCCCATAAGCCGACAGAGAAATTCGTACAAGATGAAGAGATACAAACAAGAAAAAGGAACGAAAGGTTAGCCAAGTAAATATATTGCATGTGCCACTGCATTTTTCAATACTCGCTCTCTATGAAAAGAATCAGAAGGCAGTTTTACTGTCCATATGGTCCCAACAAAGGGATTTGAAAAATAAACTAGGTTAGCTGTTACCGGTCATTTTAAGTTTCAAAGAGTTGGTGCCATCTGTCATGGCAATATCTGCTAGCAACAATTACTCCCTATTTATTCATCCTTTTTGCCTGAGCAATTTCGTTTTGATCTTTTCACTAATGCTTCTTTATATAATAAAGTTTGTTGTAGTAGCCAGAAAGTTTGGTAGGTAATGATTGCTCTCTGAACCTTTCATTGTTCCCTCTGTTTGGTAGGTAAGGATTGCTCTCTGAACCTTTCATTGTCCCCACTGTTTGGTAGGTAAGGATTGCTCTCTGAACCTTTCAGTTTCCCCTCTGTTTGGTTGGTAAGGATTGCTCTCTGAACCTTTCATTGTTCCTCTGTATTTAACATATATATCACAAGGTCCATATAAAATATCTTTCTATTGTTGTAAACAATATCTTTATATTGGTGTAAACATACAATTTTAACTAAAGCTTTGCAAAGTATGATCTATTTTGTACAGTTGATGTATAAGTACTTAGATTTCACAAATGTTTCTGATGTCTTTTTATTCTATTGTAGGTAAGTCACTCCTCAGGCTTTATCTGCTTCGTCACAACAATAGCCCGCAAATGCGACGTTAGATAAGGTATCTGGTAACCTACTCATTTGCAAATATAAAAAAAAATGAATAGATAGTCGAATAAATTCATTCATCCATAAGCATAATTATATTGATGAATTAACTTCCTGTTACCCTGTAGATAGTTATTTCAATTTCATGCCTCTGTAATTTGGTAAAAAGGTCACACAAGTGAATAGTATTTTAATACAAATTTTGAATTAGATACAAACGAGTCAGATACTGATGTAAACTGCATAATCGAGTGGTTTGTTCTCCTTAGACTTGTCATTATTGCTTAGAACCTACATTTTGAAATCCAGAAAGCCGGCTGAGGAAGTCCAAAATTGATCGAAAGAAATGTCAAAATCTAGATGTGGATGTAGAGGTATACTAGCCTAATAATTCAATAGCTGTCATAATTGTCATGTGTCTGATAATAGTAGATGTAAGCAAAACGACAATGAATCAAACCCTTTATACATATTTACAGACAATAAAACTAGATATGATCAGGAATCTGATCATAACATCTATTGACAATTGTCATCGATAGCAATGTATTTACAGAAGTAAAATTGTGTTTTATCGATCCAAATCTCCATTACGATCAGCTGTCGACTTCTCGGCCTTATACTGGTACTTCAAGCTAATATAAAGTTGTGTCATATCTTTTATTATGTAAAGTTGTGTCTATCATTGTGTTGGGTTGCTTGCTGTGAAACAATCAATTTCACACAAAATTGATATGCACCAGACACACCGGAATCATATTGGCGAGTCTGATTGAAACATTTGCAATCTAACACTATCTTTTCATTTAATATATTCGTCTTCCTTTCTTCCACTTTTAAAGTTTTTATGAATTATCTAGTCAGCTTAATATATATGCCGGAGATGACGATAGATATCATTACTCATTCTCCCCATAATGACTGTTGCAGTAAAATAATCAACTTTTTGTGGATGTTTTATTTTGTTGAATTCGTGGTACAAGAGGATGGCGTAAGCAAATTTTATCCACGAAAGTGCCACAAAATTCATATTTTTGTCAAACTATATATTTTAAGCCAAATGAAAATACATGTATATAGTTTTGAAGTATATGTATATTATACAGGAAACTGTTCCTCGAAATATACATCAGAAAAAAATACATTTTTATCAATGTTGATGAGCAACATATCAACCCTTTCCTAGCTTTCACCACGATAAATCGATAGTATATAGACAAAAGGACGACATCAAGCACAAAAATGTGACGACGTTTTGCGTGATATTGATATGGATGTTCCATTAATGGCTTTATAGATTGATTTTCTTCTTTTATAAACATCTGGTGTTATTGACTTTGTTTTTGTTTTCATTCTGCTTATAATTTGCCCTTTTTTAAATGACCTTGAAATCGAATTTTGATTGCTTTTGAATACCATTGTCTATTTGAGTTGTTTAGTCCCTACTGATTTCCTTTGTATTAAAACATGCTGTATAACTGATTTGAATGTGCATACTTTACAAACAATATGTAAATTATAATGTAGATATAGTAGAAATTTAATATGGTTGTTTTTATGGTGAAGCTGAAGAGGAAATAAACAATACAATGTAAATAACTAATAAATGCAGCCCCTTTCAATACTGCAAAGGGATTTCATTCAACGATTAAAATTCTGACTACATTTATATTTATTTTATTCATGGATGCTCTGTAAGAGTTTAAACAGATTTATTTACATAAAATGCATATTAACAAACAATGAGGATCACACAGATCACTGTTACCAAACTACCGCTCACGTAGACCCAGAAGATTGGCCAAATGCTCAGATTTGACACACAAGTTTGTTGGTTAATAGATTTCACATCTGTACCGTTCGCTGGCTTGGGTCAAAAGATGACGAACGTACCTCTCCAAGTAAGAGATTCACAATCACGGGCAGTAACTCTACCCGATAATCCCAACAGCTCCGACATAAATATCTTGTAAAGTTTTTAAAAACAATCGATTAGTTCAAGAAATATTTCCTTCCTTCTTGGCACAGCATCGTGATAATTTATAGTCACTGCCTGATTGACAATTTGACAAGTTGTCGCTGTGTTCATTACAACACTTGCTATCCAATTTGTTTAAATATAGGAACACCTACATAGGTCAACACCTCAATATTTCCTCAATATTTCCAGATACTAAATTGGTGATCAGGATGTCATGGTATTCTAATGATTGAACATTACAAAATAATTTAAAATGAATATTAAGTGGTAATATACATGGTTTTAACAACCATTATTATTATCATTGAAACGTATTTTTTTCCATTAGGTCTAATCCAAGAGATCATTCTGCTTTTTCTTGAAGGCCCAATCCCTGTCATAATTTTGACGTATATGCGAAGTGGTTCGTCTTTCCTTGGCGAGATTTTACAGGCTAACCCGGACACCTTTTATTGGTTTGAACCTGTCCATGAAATATGGGGACTACATAAAACAAATGGAAACCACAAATTTGATTTCCAAGACGGAACAAAAAGGTTCGTTTACTTTTTATTTTGTTTTTAAAACAGATTGTAATATAACATCTGTGGCTTTTTAAAGATAAAGGGCTGGACTGTCATTGTCATTAATTTTAAATAGTATCAAACCTGACAATGGAAATCATATCAAGACACGATAACTCAAGTACAATTTTCTATGTTACAATATCTTCGTAAAATAAATGGTTGAATAAAATCCGGACATATACAATATTGTACGAATTTGACATGCATATGACATATATATCGACTAAAATTGACATATATTTCCAATACAAATAAAATCTATATCCACCAAATATTACATCCAATTTTCGTATATTTCGTGTTTCAAATATCACAAGGCTTCTTACTTTCAATAGCTTTTTACACTCCACGGATGGATTCTATAAAGAATCTGCTATCATGTTCGGTAATGCTCTTGTTGAAATTGTCTTATTTTTTAATAATTTTGATTTAATGTTTAGATCAATTAAAATCCCTTTCGGATACAACGTAAATATACCAGTGTCTATCATAATAATACCATAGCCTTGAGTATTATTGGAAACATGATAACTTTATTGAGTTGATTTATATATAACGATAGGATTGGCAATCAGATTAGTTGGAAAAAGGGGAAGTGTATCTTTTTTCAATTGTTTTAGTTTTGTAGTCTGTTCAGCTATTATCTTAGTATGCTTTTTGCCTTTTACAGAACTTTCCCGTCATTTTTGGATATAGCAGTTCCCACTATCAAAAATATAAGTACGTGCCAATTAGAGAGCCTGCCCATGGATGCCTTGAGAGAACAATTTCTGGCAAAGAGCAAACAGATGACAGATTTCGTAAATTGTAGAGGTTATAAAGAAAAGGGACATACGACCAATGAAAAACTCCTTAAATGTTTACCGAGTTTAAAATCTAAATGTTTACAATCTAAATATATTGTCATAAAAACAATTCGAATTACTATGGAAAGCGTAGAATATATACTTAGAAATGTACCAAACTCACAAGTGATACATTTAATGAGGGATCCACGCGGAACTTCTCGTTCCCAACAAGCAGTCGGTCAATTGTCAAAACATAATTTTCGACAGGAGATATCTGAATACTGCAAACGAGTATACCATGATGTACTGAGAAAAGAACTACTCGACAAACAGTATCCGGGAAGAATTCGAACTGTATTTTACGAAGATGTGGCAAACAATCCAATTGTGTATTCAAAATCGTTGTACCAGTATCTGTACATGAATTTCACCTCTGCAATTGAAAAGACAATATTTGGGTTTACATTAGCCGGCAAAAGCGGTTCAAGAAAATGTGGAATTTTATGTACTCAAATGGCGAACTCGGCTCAAGAAGCCAGTAATTGGCGAAAGCAAATAAGTATGGTGTTAGTGAAAATAGTCGATAGTGCATGTGTGGATTTATATAACAAAATTCGTTACAGATCTATATCAAATGAAACTATGTTACGAGATAAAAAATATAAACTTCGGAAATAGGCATCGATGTTAACTATTTATTGAAAAAAAGTGTATGCCGTCGTTATGTAATGCATTTTCAATTTTTATTTGTTTATTAAATATGATTTAATGGCAAATGAGTGTAATATACCATGGAACGTTTTTCATTGGTTGCGCAGTCAGAAATTGCTCATAATGTCATTATATGGGTAATTTGTCTTCCACTGTCAAAATGTTACTTTTCAGAGTTATGCGATGAAACGAATTTTAGGAGCGTTTCGCCCATTTCGTAGAGTGAGAGGTGATAGTTGCTTTAAGACCGTGTAAAAATAGATAGTAAAATGCAAATCCGTCAAATCAATGCTAAAATATATATGTTTACTTTTACAGTCTCTATTTATACGAATTAAAACGTAGCAGAAAACCAAGAGAACTAAAGGTCATCAGCTGTGTGTATATTTAAGAAAATAATACCGTTCAATTCAAGACAGAACTGTCCTGCTCTTCGACAATACATCATGAACACAAAGATTAGTTATTTAATGTATCTTTAAACCTTTTACGAGAATGTGTTCACCAAGTTATAAACGATTTAATTATGTTATTATCTTCAGACGTTTTTGAACTGTATTTTCTGGTCATTAAAGGCTAAAACTAGGATGCTTTTATCAATTCAATATGAAACGCACAAGAGTTAGACATAGCTACTTTGACTACCTCAAACAAATGGACCTTAACAATGGCCATTTTGTTTGGCTGTCATTATTTGTAAGATGCATCGAATTCCAAGCCTTCCTTTAGACAGGAGACAAGCTTTGGCTCCACTGGTGGTGCTTCAAATTCTTTATCGTGCAGATTTCTTAGGATCTATGTTATTCTTTGGCATAAAGCCATGTTTATAGTCTCCGTTTCAAATGCTACATAACGATGTGTATCAGTAGTACCTTCTAGTTGCATGATGTTAAGAGCTGATATTATTTATTTATGTCTGTATCGATGTATGATGCAGAGACCGATGTTAATTCTTCCATATGTTTTCTACTGATAACATCACTTCTGTATGTGCGATAAGTATGGAAGTTAATGTCAGCTCGGAAGTGATATCACAGCCTCTAGAAAGTTATATCATACCCTCTCAATTTTTTGTATTTTACCACTTTGGCTTATCAATGTCTGATAAGTAAATACATATAGTTGGCCAGGAAGAAATGCGTTTTTTTTTCATCCCAAAATCCAATCAAATTTCCAGATAGAGCCGTTTTCAGATTGGTTTTTCTTATTAGTGATACACCTGCAGCTGCCGTCTGCGAACGCAAACAGCTAAGCTTGCGGCTTTGGACTATGGATGACGAGGCAATTTTAGAAAAAAACTTGCGCCAAGAATTATTCAGTTGAGTGAGTTAAAGAAACAAAACACATGATGAAAGATCATTATATGGCCATTTTGGTATCACTCCACTTCGGACATCTGGCTGATATCAGGACTCTCGGGCTGATAAAGGGTGTGATATCAAAACCATACCTAAATATCTAACTTACATTAACACTGACACAACCAATGGACTACTAGACCAGTGAAGGTATACCAAGATATTACAAATTAATCAAGCTACAGTTCACTCCCCTTAGATACCACTGACCGTCTATTTACCAAGATTAAAACACATATAAAAGAACAGAATAATCTTGTCGGATTTTGCAAATTTTATTTTTATATTGATATTTGATGAAATAGTTATTCTGATAACTTCAATTAAAAACTTGTGTTATCATTAGAAAGAAATGTTTTATATCGATTAGTTTAAACCCACAATGGGATTTTGCGTTGTTTAAATGATATGCATCGATAGTTAGTGTTTTTGGTTTTGCTTGTAAGTTGAAACGACTAATTTGTGCTCATGTCGTGATACTATTCATGCATGGAAAGTAACATTTCAATAAATAAGTGTTTGTACCTCCTACATCTGGGAGAGCCTTATGATTATATTTCACTGTGCATTTTTGCATGGATGGATATAATGCACGAACATTTCTTGTGCATATCACTCTGTTTTGAATAATTAAATTATTAACTACCTGAAGTATTAGGTTATTATGATAACCGAATCCTTGGCAACTAAATCTGTCGTTTTCTCCACTTCAAAACCAAAAACAATTAAGCGTGCTTTAAACACCGTATATATGTTGACTGAGTGCTCATTCAAGGTGAACATTGTGTCAATGGGTTGTAAATACAAAAATGATAGTTTCAATACAAGTTGCTTTTGGCCGTTACAAAACCTGACATTAAAAACCGGATATACCAGTTAATTGACTAAAATTTCAATACTGGTTGTTGACCATTTAAAATGATGTACAATTAACCATGGAATGTACAGATATGTAAAGTACGATCGATGTATAGGACGACTGCGCGGCTTTCATTTGCCTCTGATAACCATACAACCTCAAATCGGATAATGTCGATCATTCAAAATGACCACACTTGTCTTGATGTTGAATGGTTAATGACGATAGTAACTTATAAACAGCCATTATACGGATATTTCATCTGTGAGAACTGCTTTCAAACGTATCAGCTATTTGCGCGTGAAATGCAGAATTGTGCAAGAGCTAACTGGAATCATGAATTTTACCGGATGTTCGGATACTTTGTCTTAAAAACCTTCACAAGAATACAACTTTTCGTCGACTATAACGAATTCTAAAGTAATTGCTATGTAACGCATCTTTTTATTGGATAATTTTCATGTTTATCCCGTGCTATCGTAGCCATGGCGCTCTTTTTTAGGTTAAAGCTTATGTTTGACATTGACATTGGACCAAGTTATAGACAAGATGACAAGTGCAGAACAATGATGTATTTTTTTTCAAGTGAGTTTGTCAGTGATTTCAGCATGTCGATAAACACGATTCTTCATAATAAACTTTTGCCTTGCATTAATTGATATTCTCGATCTAACTTCATTTATGATATCACAACTAAAATCATGTCTTTCATGATATTGCCACCTATCTATACTGGATAATGATATAAAGAATAATACACAAATCCCAATTTCCATTTGAAAGAAACGATTTGACAACTTTGAATGAATCTGGCGATCTCTTGTCGATACATCTCCACTATGTCCATTGTTTTACCGGTCTATCTAATGAACGAGTGCCTGTACCATTCAGAAACAGACATGACAAATTTCAGGTATATACACCTGGAATCAATACAAACAACAATTTAAACAGGTAATCTACACAGAGAAACAATTCAAGCTTTTTCAAATGCTTCGACCCACATCCTGACCCAATCTATCGACAAATAGACTGGAAAGTAAGAGAGGAGTTTACGCTATCCCTTTTTGAAAAGAACAATTTATGAAATAATGTGAGGGAACGAAAATTTTAAAGGTCCTGGTTTTGTTAAAATTTGTTGATATTGCGATAATCACAACCCTTTTACACTCAAATTATTTTAGAATTGGAAAAGTTTGTTTTTATGGATATGTGACAGGGGTGCTAACCTGGGAATTAGCTCATTTAATTGCACCGATGTCACGTATTAGTCTACTGCAACTGAAGACAAAACAGGAATTATTAAGTTAGCTTCTTTATTCGGCGTCTTGTTCAAAAGTGACAAGAACGGCCGAGACGCTAACTATACAGAATTCTTAGAACTTTCCTTGACCAATCAAATCATGTTCTACATATGACTCCGAGAAATGTTTCGACCACTGACCAATGAGATCTAGCCTTACTGTGTCAACATACCTGTTGCAACCTGTCAACAATAGCTTGGCCTTCGCTGAGATATTGTGACACTATCGAGTAATGCTAACAGACCCCTTAATTGGACAAAGTAAAAACATTCCTCAGAGACAATGAAAGTAAATCCTGACGCTAACTGACTAAAAGCTAACGCTAACAGATAAAAGAGCCTAATACAATGCGAAACACCTTTGGCCGAAACTTGATAAAATGTCTTTCCATATAGTTCTTTGGTTATGACATATTGAATAAAGTTTTAATGAAGGCTTCATTTGAGAACCCGTACTAATCTCAACATTATGCAACGTATACTTATACTGGTTTTGCGAGAAACAAAACTAAGAGAATAACTCCCATGTTACAATAAAATATTTCAGAAAAATCTAAGTTATCAAACTTAATATTAAACTATTTTTTTTATATACTAAAAGGTAATAGACGCTGGGACAGATATATTGCGGATTATATTATGAATTTTGTCGTTTTATAAATCGACTACGTCTCACAATAAAATCAGAATATATATATATACAAAAACAAGCATATTAGCCAATAGATATACATGGACATGCGGATCCTACTGATGGTTTTTTACTGGACCCACATTTATTAAACGCCATCTTCGTATAATACGAATAATAAATAATATTAAGTCAGTTTGTTGGTCGGTTAGTTGGTTTTCCGCCTACATGGCTCTTCCCATTGATAGAAATTGTCTCGCCAACGAACGGCAGTGTTCTGGCGACATATGCCAATTAGGCAATGCTGTCTTATGTCAGTGTATAACAAGGGAAATATTGATGGATCCGGCCACTCGCTCTCTCAGCGGATACCTTATAGCCAGACTAAAGGACATTCCTACTAGGCAAGACAAGAAAATGTGCCTGTACTCTAAATACCTTTACAACGTTTCACGGAGTCCTGGTTGCCTCCAAACAACAGCCATAAGTGAGGTGCATCACTGAAGCCTTATAATCCCCTATACAAAATAGTCGACAGATCATCTGCAATAGGGAGGAGTCTCCTATAGGGCATATCAGGATTTGCTGAATGTTTTCAGCTTTAAGACAAACACAATAAGGTATATCGTTGGTACTTTCACAATGATAATGATTCTGCGTAGCTGTTAAATGTTCGCTGAATGAAATATATTTTCGAAGAAAAGCGAATTAAGATGGTCCCTGCGATAGTCCTATGTTGACAAGGGCCTCAAGCTAATTTCATTTAGTTTGCCTCCAGCCCATATTTCTGTTATATCATGTAACTGTTTAATGAAA